ACCAAAACCTGAAGTGCCCAAGCTATAAGAAATAAGACAGGCAAGTGGGACCTCATCAAACTGATAAGCTCCTGTAAAGGCACAGAAACCTTTAAGAGAGTGGGGAGATAGCCCACAGACTGGGAAAAAATATTTTCCAAGGAACTCAAACGTGCCAAAAAGAAAAAAAAAAAAGCTCCATTACAAAGTGGACAAAATATATGAATAGACGCTTCTCAAAGGAAGACATATAAGCAGCCAACAGATATATGAAAAAATGTTCAGTTTCACTAGTAATCAAAGAATTCCAAATTAAAACCACATCGAGATACCACCTAACTCCAATCAGGATGACCATTATAAATAACTAAAAAAACAAAACAAAACAAAACAAAACAGATGCTGGAGAGGATGTGGGGAAGAGGGCGCACTTCTACACTGTTGGTGGGAGTGTAAACTAGTACATCCTCTGTGGAAAACAGTGTGGTGATTCCTAAAAGATCTAAAAGTTGACCTTCTGTGGGACCCCAGAACCCCCTACTGGGAATATACCCAGAGGAACTCGAATCACTCTATGAAAAATATACCTGTACACGCATGTTTATTGCATTATTCATAATAACAAAAATATGGAACCAACCGTACTACCCATCAAAAGAGAACTAGATTTTTAAAAATGTGGTACATATACACAATAGAATATTACACAGTCATTAAAAGGACAAAATTATGAACTTCACAGCAACTTGGATGGACTTAGACTCTATAATACTGAGCAATTTATCACAGAAACAAAGAACTGAGTACCACGTGTTCTCACTCATAAGCGGACCTTGGACAATTATTAATACAATAAGAAAGGGATTGGAAGTATTGGAAAACTGCCAGGGGCGTTGGAGGTGTGACTGCATTAATGGGAAACTGCCAAGGGAGTGGGGGCACACCTCATCAACAAGGGTATTGCATAATGAACATTTGTATACCTAACTCTGAATTGTACCCCACATCTTTAAAATAAAAAAATAATAATAAATAAAATAATCACCTAAAAATGCTAAAAATTAAAAAACAGAATCTCAATAGGCGTGTTACATCAAGTGGAGAGTACTTTGAAGGCAACTATAGTTTAATTGTTAAGAATAAATGCACAATTTTTATGAATAAATTCAAGTTTTTTGCCTCCTCTCTTTGTATATATATTTTATTATCTTGTACTTTGTATTTTTTATGATTTTTACCATGCACATCTTATATAATATATTAATGGCATCCTGATTTGTTATATTCCTCTGACGAATGTTGGTTTTTGTTTAAAGTAATTAAATTATTGATAAATTACTTTAATCATGTTGAGGATTAGTTTTATATTCAGGTTGGTCAATCTCAGTATTGTCCTTAGGCTTAAAGTAAGTCCACAGTCCTAAAGCAGAGGAATGTTATGGTTTTTCTAGGGTTTTGTGAAGCAATGTCTGAGATGTGTATTATGACCTTCCAACTTGGCAAGAATCAAACTCCAAACTCTGTATTTCTGCAATGAATGGCAGCTGAAATAGTGAATCAACTTTTTCAAACTTCAATATATTTTTTCATCTGGGTTTCCTGATACCTTTTTCCCTTCCCACACAAAAACAAACATTTAAGGGGAGTTTACACATAGATGTAGAGTCTTGTCCTTCTGTTGTCATTTTGTTTCTGTGATTCTCCCCCCAATGTGATCTGCTCTGGCAGCCATCAAATCTCTAATACTTCAAAGCTGATAAGATTGGTGCCTAGTCATCCTGTACCTCTGAAATTAAATGGTTCATTGGTAAGTGGGACTTTCTGTTGTCACCCATGAAGGGCCCTTAGGGTAAAAGCCACATAATCTTAGATGTTGTGCAATTTAGTTTCCTCTCAATGGACAAATCTTCACACTTTCTGCATATTTTTGGTTGATTCTATTTAATATTTTATCTATTAAATATGGTTGTGTATTTAATATTTTCCCCAACAATTATAAGCATCATCTAAAGAATAGGTAGCCTATTTCATCACTACCAGAACTAGGACATGAATTTTAATTTCCCCAGCAATTAAAAATTTTATATCAACTAAAGTTGTCTAACTTATAACCTTATAATTCACTTCTGGGTATAGTAACTCTCATAATAACAGTAGTAATAATAACAACACAGTATCAAAAGATAAGCAAAAATAAAACTTTATTCAGAGAAGATTAACTTATAAAACAATTCTTCAATATTTTGACAACGGCTTATTTGGATGAGAGGATGTGGGTAGTAGTTTATTTCTTTTTATTTTCCAATGCTTTTCAAATCTTAAAATAAATAAATAAACATATATGTGTATATATGATTCAGGACATACTACCTCACAATGTGCCACCTTGACATACAGAGTATTTCAAGATAAAGGAAATTGAAACAACAAAAAACAAAAACCAGAAGTATGAAGGTTTGTCTAACATTCTGCTACACTCTTCTTTCTCAAAAAGGCACAAAAACTACAAAGAATTCCCCTCACCTCCTTTCCCCTGTAGTGGTCCATAAAACCTAGTTGCCCTGCCCCCCAAATTTTATAAGACATCCCAGGCGTGTCCTCTCTCTACCTGGTGTCCGTATCTCTGAAGACATAGAGACACAGAGTAGAATCTGAACTAACAAGCCTTTCTGACCTCCCTCCAGTTTATTATCATTAAGTCATACCCATTTTTATCCATTTGTGTTTCTCCACAACTATTCACTTCTTTATCAGACTTCGTATAAAATATTCAGCTTTCTCTGTTTCTTTGGGTGTTCAGTTTTGAAAGCTTCCATGTCATGTAAAACTTATATTAAATAAATGTGCATGCTTTCCTTTTGTTATTCTGTCTTTTGTTATAGAGGTCTCAGAAGTAATCTTGTAATGGTTGAGGAAAAGATATTACATTTCTCCCATGCAATTTATACATTTATATCATTCACAATAAATATATAAACATTATGTTTAACAAATAATGGCTATTTTAATTTACTATAAATATAATCTAAAAATGGGCAAGAATATAGCTAAAATCTATGGCAAAATAAATTACTGGAAGAGGTATTTTATAAATACCAATGAATATAACATGTATTGCAAAATGTTTTAAAAAAATATTAAAATACTTTTTCAGAGAGTAGTCACTAGGTAAACATCCACCAAGACATACTGCGAGCTACTAGCCATGGTGAGTACTTATATCCAGATACCATAAATAGTAAAATTTCTTCTATGGTTTATTTTAAAATGCTGGGAAATATTCCATTATTACAGGGATCCTTAGGAGACTAGATAAAGGATCAGCATATGAAACATCACTTTTTGAATATAACAGCAATCATTTTCACAGTTTCATTATATTTGTCAATAAATAAACTCACCTAAAATTTTATATAGCCTAAAAAAATATGTGCAACCTTGTGCCTGCATATCTGTTTAGTTTGGCCTCCTTTATATTTTAATAATAATTCTATATCAATTTATTCTGGAGCCTCTGACTGAAACTGAGCAGAGACAACTCCATCAGGTGGTATAAGGACGCTTCAGTGTGCCTGATTTCTACAATGCTACTGAATCATAACCACATAACCAGCCAGTTTCTTCCATGTATCTCACTTGCTTGGTATTTATAGGTATCTCTCTCTCTCCCCACCCCTTCTCTTTCTCTCCTTCTCTCTGTCTTTCTATCTATCTCTGTTATACACACACACATATATATACACAAACATACACACCTCTTAGCCTATAAAAATAAGATTAGATAACTTCACTATGAACAAATATATAGCTATAAATAAAACAAACTAGACTTTTTAAAGAAAATTTGTGCATAGAAATGGCAAACCTCTTCAGAGAGCAGCAAAGAAAAGAGAATGACAAAGAAAGAGGATTTGTATTTTCTCTGACTCCATTTTAATCCCAGTAGAAAAAAATCAAACTGCATGTAAATGTTGCCATTATTTTAACTGAATTTTATCCAAATGCCTTAAGGATAACTATGCCCAAGACAGAGTTCTAAAGCCATGCTAGTTTCCAGATTTGTATGTCAGTCCTTTTTTTTGCCTCTCCTTTCCCTGTGTGATGGGCAGAAACCACAAGTCATTCTTTCTGCTTTCCTTGGGTATATTTTAGAGTTAGTCATGGACTGTGCACCTCATTTTCTTGTGTTCTATTTCTATGTCTTCTGACTCTTTACTCAAGTTCCATTCCTGGAAATTTTATTCTTGCCAAAAAGGAATTTATTTTTTAGATGATTTCTGTTATTTTCCATGGAAGGATCAAACTGGTCTTCCTCACCTGGTCCTCTTTATTCATACCATTCTTGTGATATCTTGACTCTCTGGGAACCATGAAACATTCCCCTACCTCCTTTTTCATGAGTGAATAGAGTTTAATCTGTGGTAGACTAAATAGTTTGAGACAGAGGGGTGTCTCCCAAATATCAGTATCCATGGTAACATGCTAGGCAAGAAGGAAGCATGCTAATACCACTCATCCACCTTAGAAACTTTCAGCATAGTAACTAAGAACAACAGCAACAACAGATCAATCCTACACAGAAATAGAAATTTCATTGCATTGTTAGATAACCTCTTGATCATATTCCTTTGCCTACTCTGCCTTCAAAAAGCAGTCCCTTACTTTGTGGTCTGTATTCTTTACTCAAGCAGCTCGCCTATGCAATTATATTCTTCAAGATTCAAGTAGTTCGTGCCTTTGTGTTTTCACTGGAGATAGAGAACAGACATAGGAGAAATGAATCCTGAAGAGCACAGAATTTCTCCATATCTTCTAATTCTATCAGTGTTTTCTCTTTTCATTCAAATTGAATTCACCAAATCTGTCTTTCTACAGGATGGCTTACTGAGAAACAGCCACTCCTCCCCCACAGTCTGCTCCTAACCTCTAACAATGCAATCATGATTTCTAAGACTTCGTGATTTTAAAATAAGGATTCATGGCAGATCTGACCACTACAAGCCTTCTGTCACTGGTGATATAGTTTCTGGGTTTGCTAAAGCACCTCTTGTCTTTATGAATGCCAGTCCTTCCATGCTTGTGTGTGCAGTGAAGGGTTAAAAAGCTTTGGAAAGACACTACGCATGTGTTAATTCGTGCTGCAGCAGCATGCATCTCTTCCACTTTGACCTCATAGTTAATCTGCGTGATAGTTAATCACGCAGAGTCTCTAGTGATTTTTTTTCTGCTTATTTCAAATACACACAGAGGCACACGCACATGGCTCTGCCCCCTCTAAAAGAAAAAAAAAATCAAAACAAAGCAAACAAATAAGCAAACCTAAAACGATGGACCTGGAGGAGAACGCGTGAGTGTGGGGGGCTTGAGTATGTACAAGAGTGTGTGCGCCTTTCTCTCTCCCTTATTTGTCTGGGTGTGAGTCTCTCCCTGTACCCTCCCCCTGCCTCAATTATATTACTCCCCCAGACTTGGAAGCTGCTGCCTGAGCTGACGCTTTGATGGTATCTGCAAGCGTTTGTGCTGATCTTATTTCTGCCCCCTGAATATTAATTCCAGAAGCTGGTAGCAATACATCTCCCCAGTGACGGAACCTACTAGAGGCAGGTGGGGGCAGCCACCATCAGATCATAAGCATAACAATAATACTAAGGGGAGGGATTATTCTGCAACCAAGAGTCAAGAGGCGAGAGGAGGAAAAAAAAAAAAAGCGATGAGTTCGCCGAATATATGGAGCACAGGAAGCTCAGTCTACTCGACTCCTGTGTTTTCACAGAAAATGACGGTGTGGATTCTGTTCCTGCTATCTCTCTACCCGGGGTAAGATGTGCCCTTTTCGGCTTCTTTTGTTCTGAAGAGGTGGGGGAAGGGGTGGGGATGTAGAACTCCAGAGACCACCCAGTTTTAAAACACTCTCCTAGGATTTGGGGCTTCATGATTAGGGGAGAGTGACTTCATGGGGAAGAAACAGGAGGGAGAAAAGAGGAAGGTCACTCTGTTCTATTTATTAATTTGTTGTATTATTTTGTTATTTTGCTTTATAGTGAAAAGGGTAACCTCATAAAGACTTGTATTTTAAGTAGTGGCATTTTGACGTTACTGAATCTGATGTCGAGGTGGGTTGTACTGATACACGCCAGCATTTGAGGCCATGTTGAAGGCGTTTTGGGTGGGGGTCTGGAAGAGAAATTTGAAAATGGGGTCCTGGCGCACAGCGGAGAGATTGTGTGTGAAGGAGGAGTTGGGAGGGGGGAAGGGGCGGCCCTGTTTCTTATACTAAAGTATCGCTTGTTCCTGCACCTGGGCATTCTTAAGGTCAGTCTGCCAGGTTTTCTATCCAGCCCCATTGACCTGGCAGCCCCGATGAGCAGACGTAGTTCAGCACCAGGGACAGCAGTTTTGGTTAGGGTCAAATTAAAGAAGCTTGTCTAACCTGATAGCACATCTATAAATCTACACAGGACACCCATACTGTCAGGCAGAAGGCCAAAGAAGCCAACGAGCTTTAATAAAGTCGGGAGACCCTGATCTGATTATGTGTCTACAGCCTCCTTGAGATGGGAGAGGAACTATTGGGCATGGGGTGGAGAATGTAAGTTAAATGAATGTTTGGGGGAATGTATGTCTGGAAGAAAAACTGACATTGCTGTAGTTTTGAAAAATATGCTTAACCAGGTAAATGTGATGCCAAAATCATGAAGTATGCATTAATGGTTTAGGGTCTTGTTGCATTTTATAGGAAATAGGGGAAGGGAGGATATCAGACTCTGAAAACCCCGAGCACGTGTGCGTTCTGAAGTCCTTTGCATTTTAATTTTCTTAAACTTCTTTGCACCAAAAGTATGAGGGGTGTATCCCCCCATGCAGTTTAGTTCAATATTAATCTACCCCCCTAAACACTTCCCCCTCTTCAAGTTTCATAGCTAGGTCCAAAGGCAGGTTAGAGGACCTCTGTTTACATTACTTGTACTCTCCTATATCTTCATTTTGAAATAATGTTTTATAAAATATTATCCCACATCTACCCCCCCAAAAGAAAACAAACAAAAACTGGTTAGAGAAGAAGTCAAGGTGCTATCCTAAGGTTTTATTGGGAGTTGAAAATCTTGTGTGGTAGTTATAACAAAAAGAAACTAAAAGGGATGAATTCATTCTAAAAAAATATTTTATTAAAAATATCTAGTCAACTTCTCTGGTACCTTCTTCTCCAGAGTGGGTAATGGGACATACAGGTTTTGAAAAACAAGAGACCTAGGTAAAACAAAAAGTAAAATCCTCAATTTGAAGTTTCCATGCAGAGAGAGGGTCTGCTTAAGTCTTCCAGCACTTTTTATATCTTCCTAATTTACTATAAAAACAAAATACATTTGCACTAAGAGTGTAAGATTAAGTTGCTTTCCTAAAATAATAGAGGGCCTTTTGCTGGAAATAGTTTTATATACAATACATTCTAGTGAAACACTAGAAAAATAATTTTTTTGCATTCAAAATTTAAACACCTATTTTTCTGCAATGTGCTTAGCTGCTAAAATTAGTTTTCTTCAGAAATTAGAAAATTAATAGGTTCTTACTAATATAAACTATCTTTCCCCCATTGCTACCATATATGAAACCTGTGGATTAAAATCTATAAAAGACATAGGGGAATGTGTCTTTATTTTTGACTTACATCCATCTTAGTAAACAATTATATTCTTTTTTTTTTAATCTCCAATGGTCCAATTTTAACCAAAACATGTTTAACTTTATTATTGTTCATAATGCTGTAGTATTTAAGATGTCTGCTTGTTGCAACAGACCCTCCTTTACAACTTCAATGTTATATTAAAGTAAAATTTGATGATACATATATTTCAATTTTTAATTTGTATCAAAATATCTTAGAAAAGCTTTTTAAAGAGCTCTAAATAATGGGAGCAATCTATCACAAAAACCCTTTAGTAGGGTAATTTTTGCATCTTCTCAATAGTAAAAGAGAATAGAGTCATTGCAGTTTGGTGCAGAGTGTGATCTGAGTTTCAGTTTGCTGCAATTTCATAAAATAGCCATTTGTATGGCTGAGTAGGACTGTGGTTAAATGGAAGCTTTGATCTCTGAAGCTGATTCTGAAGAAGGTCAATAAATAAGAGAAACATTTGGAATAACAGGAGCCAATATGAAATAGCCTTTGGGGGTAAACAGTAGCAGCAAAGCCACTAGAAAGTTAATGAAAAGTAAAGGAAACATTTAATTGAATTTTTTATTTATATAATTCTAAAGAATAGTTTTTTCCTTTATTAAATGACTGAATTCATTAGTATGTGTCTACATAAAAGTAAAGCAAGGAAAAAAATAAAACAATGGAGTGATAATATTAATAGCTAATATTTCTTCTTGTAAGTGAAATAATTATTTTCTGAAACTCAAAATTTTCTAAACTTTCACACATCTTGTTTACAGCGCTGTCACCTGGGGAGTTTACTAAAATGGAGATCCCCAACCATACATTGAATGATTCTGAATTATTATGTTTGGGGTGGAGATCAGGAATGTTTAACATGAATATTTTCAACAAGTAAGCGTGATTTCCATTTGATAAAAAGCGGTCCTTATTTTGTTTATTTCTAAAACTTTGTTCATCACCATATTTAATATTTGAAGCTGTTTTCCTTATTAGTGCTTTATGATTCAGCTGGGCACAATGAATCAATTTAATGTTCAGAATTTTTATTTGTATGAAAATCGCTGAGAGTATTTTACAAATTAAAAAATATAAGGAATAGTCTAAAGGATCTTAATAAACCAATTCAGAATATGAGAAGACACTGACTGGAATGCAAAACAAAAACAACAACAACAAAATAATCCAAACATACAGACATATATAAATGTGTAAGTAATTATATTCACAGACTATATATAATCCACATACATATTGTTACACATAGAAGTTTTAAAACAAATCTTGTAATTTTATAAACTTTTTCAAAGTTACTTTATTCTGTCTTGGAGTAAAAATATTCTAAAATAGGAAAAATAGAATACGATAGAAAAAATATTTCAATTAGGAATAAGTAAGATAACAAAAATATTTTTATTTTTATTGGACTAAAACAACACTTTTAATGTACTTAGAGTGATAAAGATTATTTCTAAAGGATATATTGAATGGAAATGAACTGGATTAAATTTTTGCTGATCAGTTTGAGCCTTATTTTAAAGTGCTAGTCTTGAATTTTTAAAAGGAAAATTTAGTTAGATGTATACGTATTTTCTATTTTTGGCAGTTGCCAGAACAGAAATGCTTCAGATTGCTTTTCTTATGAGCTACTAAAGTGTTTGGATTCCATAATTAAATTTTACATAGTTCTTAATTTTAATTGACTATGATCATGCATGTAGAGGAAATGTTGTGATTCTTCAACATAAGCCTATTTATTTACAGAATTAATCTCTACAGACAAGATTTTTATTCCCTGTTTTTCTAAAAGAGTCAACTGATTTTATCTAGAAAATAAGATCATATCTTCAGTATATTTAAGTTCTTTAATTGTAGATAGAGTGTTTCAAATATCTACCTTGAGGGAGAAATTTACTTACTTAAAAGAAAAAGGAAAAAGAGAGAAATATTTATTATCTAGCATTTCCCAGAATCCAGGTACTCACCACTATGTAAGCAAAACATTTGGATTGTAGGTGGTAGTTAAAATTTGACTTTTACTTTTTAATTTACAATCTAGAAGAGATATTCACACTGAATAAATAAAAATGTGTGATCTATATAAGGTTCAAGATACTCAGTCTCCACCAAACACATTATCATCCAATTATATTATATTATTTTGATTGAAAGTTCTAGTCAGAAAAACTTGACAATAGTCAGCAATCTTCTTTTTTATTTGAGAACATATTAAATGATGTTATTTAGAACTGAGACAAAATTATGTTTAGAAAACATCTTCTTTTTTCATTTTTATTTAATTTAAAGATGTGGGGTACAGTTCAGGTTGAAAATATAACTTCTTAATGGAATGCCTGTGCAAGTAAAGCATAGTTTAAGCTCCAATTAACTCATTTTTTTAAGAAACATAACCACAGTATGTCATCCCATTTAAAAAAAAAAAAAACCTTGCCTTCTATTGAACAAATTTATAGAATAACTTGCTCAATGTTGTCCTTCAATTTTCTTACAAAAATCTTTAGAAAAGTGAAAGACAGCTCTTCTCAGCATTAAAGTAGAATAATATTACAACTTCATTATATGGATATGTATATTTTCAATATGTACATATTTAAGTCTGGCACATTTTTAATCACCCCAATCAAATAAGCAAATGCTTAATTAACTTTGCTATGTGATAATATATCAAAGCACTTAAGTTTAAATTTCTAGAGGTATATGAAGATGTAATTTATATAAATTAATACTTTACATTTTTTATGGATATATATACCTCCACATTCTTATTCTTCCAGTACACTCATAAGTTAGATACTTTATTCTTCTGACAACTGTAGAAAATGAGATATGAAATGATTAAGAGACTTGTCCAAGACTCCTTTGTGCCTGATGTATGGCAGGTTTAAGACCCTCTCCTTAAAATCGTAGTGCAATATACTACATTACACAAGCACAGTCACCTTTTCTTTTTCTAAATGTAAAAAATACTTAGATTCTTTTGAAATGTAAAAGACCTCTACACTTTGCCTTACTGAGAAGGTTATTTCCTATTCATTGGTTCCCTATACTAGAGAATAAATATCCTTTAGAAGGCAATAAAAAGCTCCTTTTAAGTTTCACATTAGTGGCTTAGAATAAAAATAAAATTTAACTCCAAATC